GCGCCCGACGTGGCGCTGGCGCGCGAGGCGCGGCCGGGCGGCAGTGCCGGCCGGCCCCAGGTCGCCAGCCTGCCGGCCGCGCCCCTGGCCAAGCCCGGCAGCGTGCGGCCCTTCCCCAGCGTGCGCGACAGCCTGCGCCTGCCGGTGGCCGGCAGCCTGGCGGTGGGCTTCGGCGAAAGGCCCAGCGGCGACATCGACGGACGCGCCCGCGGGATCTATATGGAAACCAGACCGGGGGCGCAGGTGGTCGCGCCCTACGACGGACAGGTGGCCTTCGCGGGGCGGTTTCGGCGCTATGGGCTGTTGTTGATCATCGAACACGACGGGCGATACCATAGCCTGCTGTCGGGACTCGAGCGGATCGACGCCGTCGTGGGTCAGTGGGTTCTGGCGGGCGAGCCCGTCGGGGTGATGGGCCAGCGGGGCGGCGGCCTGGGCGGCGACACGGACGGCGGCAACACGGACGGCGGCAGCGCGGCGGGCAGGGGGGCGCCACGCCTCTACTACGAGCTGCGGCGCGACAGCCAGCCGATCGACCCCCTACCCTGGTTGGCGATGGACGAAGAGAAAGCGAGAGGCTGATGCGCTTTGCGAAAACGGCGGTCGCGGCCGCCATCTGTGCCGTGGTCCTGCTGCCGGCGGGCGCCCAGGCCCAGGAGAGCGACGAGGAAATCTTCCGGCAGCTCAAGGTCTTCGCCGACGTCTTCGAGCGCGTGCGCGCCGAATACGTCGAGGAGGTCGGCGACGAGCAGCTCATCGAGGCGGCGATTCAGGGCATGCTCAGCGATCTGGACCCGCACTCCAGCTACCTCGACGCCGACAGCTTCAAGGACATGCAGGTGCAGACCCGCGGCGAGTTCGGCGGGCTGGGCATCGAGGTCACCATGGAGAACGGCGTGGTCAAGGTGGTCTCGCCGATCGACGACACCCCGGCCTTCCGCGCCGGGATCGAGGCCGGCGACCTGATCACCCACATCGACGGCGAGCCGATCGTCGGCCTCGACCTCTCCGAGGCGGTGGACCTGATGCGCGGGCCCGTCGGCACCTCGATCTCGGTCACCGTGCGCCGCGGCGACGAGGAGCCCTTCGACGTCACCATCGAGCGCGACATCATCACCGTGCAGTCGGTGCGCTCGCGCGTCGAGGGCGACATCGGCTACCTGCGGGTCACCGCCTTCAACGAGCAGACCATGCCCGGCGTGGAGGAGGCGGTCGCCGGCTTCAAGGAGGAGCTGGGCGACGCCTTCGGCGGCATCGTGCTCGACCTGCGCAACAACCCCGGCGGCCTGCTCGACCAGGCGGTGTCGGTCTCCGACGCCTTCTTGGAGCGCGGCGAGATCGTCTCCACCCGCGGCCGCTACGAGGAGGACTCGAGCCGCTACAACGCGCGCGCCGGCGACCTGCTCGAGGGCCTGCCCATGGTGGTGTTGATCAACGGCGGCTCCGCCTCCGCCTCGGAGATCGTGGCCGGCGCGCTGCAGGATCACCGGCGCGCCATCGTCATGGGCACCAAGTCCTTCGGCAAGGGCTCGGTCCAGACGGTCATGCCCCTGGGCAGCGCCGGCGCCATGCGGCTGACCACGGCGCGCTACTACACCCCCAGCGGCCGCTCCATCCAGGCCAAGGGCATCGACCCGGACATCATCGTCGAGCGGGCCCGTCTGGAGGCCATCGAGGGGCCGGAGCGGCGCAGCGAGGCGGACCTGCGCGGCCGCCTGGAGGCCGAGGAGGCGCCGCTCGAGGGCGAGGCGCCGGACGCCGAGGGCGCGGCCGAGGAGCCCCAGGACGAGGCGCTGGTCGACTACCAGCTCGCCCGCGCCCTCGACCTGCTGCGCGGCCTGACGCTGTTCAGCCAGCGCAGCGTCAACTGAGCGGAGCGAGGCTCGCAGGTCAGACGTGCCGCGCCGCAGCAAGACGGACGACAAGGCCGGCCCAGGCGGGACCGATCGGATGATCGGTCCCGCCGGCGACGGCCCCATCGGCAGCGCCGCCCCGCCGCGCCGCCGGCGGCGCAGCCCGGCCGGCCGCCTGCTGCTGGCCGCCTGGTTGCTGCTGATCGGCCTGCTGCTGGCCGGCGGCGGCTATGTCTTCTGGCCGGAGATCGCGACGACGGCGGAGCGGCAGATCGCTGCCCTGACCGGCGCGCCGCCGCCGCCGCAGGCGCCGGTCGAAGTGGCCGAACGCTCGGTGGTGCCCGGCCAGGGCGCGGGGTCCGACGCGGGGCCCGACGCGGCCTCCGACGACGCCTCCGACGACGCCTCGGACGACGCCCCCGAGGACGCCTCCGAGGAGGCCCCCGCGGCGGGCACGGACCGGGGCCCGGCCGAGGGGCCCGACCGACCGGGGCCGGCGGAGTCGGCGG